GTGGGTGGGATGGGTTAGGGTAGAAGAGAGGGCGGGGAAGGCGGGCCCGAACTCGGAAGCGAAGCAGGGTCGGCCCGGTTGAGTCGTTGGACTGGGAGCCCGACGATAAAGTCCGCGGCTTCCACGCGGAGCCTGGCGATGGCGAGCCACCGCTGAGTGTCTCTCGCTTTTCAGCTGTGACTTGTGGGCAAAAAAAAAGTTAAGGAATAGAACCTTTCTGTACCAGCTGGGTAGGTGTAGATATGTGCATGTAGATCCATGCATGCAGCTATACTGTGGCTGCGGTCACACGGAGCATTAGTCATGCTACTGACGGCGCGATCACACCGCAACATCTGGGAAGCGTAGAGCTCCCATGGCGAACCCGAGGCTTCCCTCCGAAGATGCATGCGGAGTTAAAAACGAGTACCTCCGAGGTACTAGTTTACGGAAACAGTGGGGCAAGGGCTGGCGTCTGATTACGTTTCCGGTCCGTGGCATCCGGCGCCCGCCCATGTCCCGTAGCAAACAGGTTCCCCCCCCCCAAGTCTCCACAGGATGCGCACAAGCACCCAACGGCGCATGCACACAAAGAGGAAAGCGAAAGTTCCGTTGCTCCGCAGAATCGCGCAATCGCGCCGCTTCTTTGCCGCGCTGCAGGATCTTCGTGTGATCCCCACCTCACCCCTACCAACGGGACCTGTGATTGGGCGGCGGTGCGTTATTTTGCTCCAGGCCAAACTGCCACGCCCCCCCCCCCCCGCATTTTTCGGCCGGTGTGACCGGGACCTTAAACTAGTATCTGGTGCTTACACACACACACACACACAGTCTCTCTCACACAAACATATATGCACATGCATGTATGCCTACATATGCCCTGCCATGGTGCTGTTTACAGTATGTTCAATGGGCAGAGATTGTGAAGAAAGGATGTGTGAAGAGCTCTCACCTGTCTTTGAGCAGCAGACCAAATCTATTGCACACCTGTTCTTATCCTGTTTTTATAATGACTGCCACATTATGTTCTCTTTTTTTCCTCCAGGCGTGCAGTTTCTTTCCATCTGAGCACTTGAAGTGAGGGCAAGTGATTAGCTGCCATTTCCTTGAGAGAGGGAGTGGATCTGCTCATAAGGACACTCTGGTGTTTCATGTTTCACCACCCAGCCAGTATATTAGCTTTGAACTCATCTAGATCTCACTTAGTCTGGCACAGCAGAAACGGAGAGGAGGAGGAGAAACCGTTCTTTGCCATGAGTCGTTACAGTTTCTCCAACCTTCTGGACTGGATGTATGGTGGAGTGGACCCGAGCTTTGAAGGTAATGGGGGTCCTGAATGTGCCGCCTTCCTCCCATGGCAACAGCGTCTGGTGGAGAGCCTAATTTTTCTCAGTGTGGGAGTTCTGGAGATTGTGGTCTCACTGCAAAGGATTAAACGATCCCACTCCAGGGAGTTGGGAAATCTGCTGGCTCAGTCTCGGAACAAAGAGGAAAGCTTGGGGAAAAACCTCTTGCTGGTGTCCCTCTGCCTCACTTTTGGATTGGAATTGGGGTTCAAGTTTGCTTCCAAGACTGTCATCTACTTGATGAATCCCTGTCACGTGGTCACTATGTTGCAGGTAAGCAATTCTATAACAGGTAATATCATCACCTAAACCAAGCCTTTGGTTCACTTTACCCATCTGTACTGGAAGTACCCGCTGTGAGGTTCAGGGACAAGAATGCCTACTGTTCACATTCACACCAGAACAGGGGCCGATTTACTTTGATGAAGAACCCATTCATCAAATTTAGGAAAACATTCTATTATTGTCCCAATGTTTAAAAAGGGGTCCGGAAGTGATACATCCTGTTATCCACGAATCAGCCTTCTTTCTTCTTTAGGAAAGCTATACTCTGCTTATCTACTAAAGAAGCACCTGGATTGGATGGAATCAGAAACCTTATTGGGACATGAAGAGAAAGGAGTTCTTCGACATGTGACCATTGCCTAGTTCTTTATCACCTGGCTGAGAAATACTTGTCCTTTAAGGGGGAGGGTCTATATGCAGATTTTATTGACCTCAAGGGGGGCTTAGATTCCATAAATCACTCCAGTTTGTGGAACAAACTTAATCAAACTTCTATGGACAAAAGGCTCCTAGGACTCATTCAGCAATTATATTTGGGTTCAGCTGCCCAACTATGATGTGCGTATGATTCCAAATCCATTTAATTTGGAAAAGGAAATACAGCTGGGATGCTTGTTGACTCCTTTTTTGTTTAATTTATATTTAAATGATGTAGCGACATTCTTTAATGTCTGCTGCCACCCACCAAAATTAGCTGAGATTGGGGTGCCCATTTTGCTCTATGCAGGTGATGCCATGATCTTATCTTGAACTAGGGTGGGGCTGCAAAGGACCTTGCAGTCTTTTTCTAATTATTGTTCTTGAGAAAGCCTGGTGATTAACTATTTGAAATCTAAGATGCTAGTTTTCACCAAGACCAGAAAATGGAACACATCTCAATGGTCTATCAATGGGTTTAGTATTATTTATTTATTTATTTATTAGATTTATATCCCGCCCTCCCCAAACGGGCTTAGGGCGGCTAAGAAAAGAGGCATATGCCATACTTGAACAGCTAAAAACAGAATAAAACAATCTTTCCCACCAAAGTGCCAGTGCTCTTGATATTAGTTCTTGAATAAGTCAAGACTTTCTCCTGTTTGGGGATTTTGTTTTCAGCAGATCTGTCTTGTACCCCCCCAACTTAGAACAGCACTTAATAAAGCTAAACCATGTGTAAGCGCCATAAATAGGTTCTTCCATAATAAAGGGGGGAAATATATTCCTGGAGCGGTGCAAGCTTTTAATTTGAAAGTGGTTTCCCATATCCTTTATGGCTCAGCTATTTGGATTACAGCTATCTCTGATAATATCAATCAACCCTTAGCCCAGTTTTAAAGGAAAATACTGAATATTCCCTGCTGTGTGTCAAACATTGTATTGTGGGCAGAATTTGGACGGATATTCTTGGAAGTCAGAGCATGGCTTTATGCCTTTAAACTGAGATTAAAACAGCTTTGTGCCGAAGATGTTGTTAGCAGCTCTGAATCAAGATACCCACAAATTGACTTGGATGAAAGCCCTGGATGAGAAATTGATGATAGTTGGAATGTCAGTGATATTTTTGAGATGGGCACATCAAAGCATTTTCTCTGATCAAAAAGCGTGTCCTAGAAATCGATTATAGTAGTTTGATCCTGAGAGCCCACAGAGTTTGCTCACCCATATCTTTTGGTCTTTCTTTCCCAAGATCTTTACCCCCCCATATGTGCTATTTTACAGTCCCATGTTACTGTAGAGCTTTTTTGTTTGCAAGATTGAGTATTATTCCTACCAGGATTTTACAGGGGAAATTTTTGAATAGGCCCTATGCTGACAGAATATGCCCTTGTGGCCTTAATAGGATAGATACATCCTTCCATGCCCTGCTTAATGCAGGTTCTTTGAGAATATAAGGGATCACTGTATTAAGCCTTGAATCAACCAGCTGTCCCCCTACACTCTGGAAACTCTGTCTCTTTTGCTGGGCGATAAGGATCCTAAGTTTACTCATTCCTTTTAGCCCTTGCATCAAAAAAAATAAGAAGCAAGTATCTTCTGCTGCTCAAGATGTGTGAATCAATGAGCTTCTAAGGGGATACAAGGAAAGGAAAGGAAGGAACCCATTCATAGTAGTGTGTATATTCCTTGATTCTGTCTTTGTGAAACATTCAAACTTCTACAAAGAGAATTACGGGTGGCTCACAGAGTAAAATAGGCTCCGAGTCCTAGAAATCGTAGCAAATGGATTTTATTTAATTATTTATTCATTACAAACATTTGTAAGCCTATCTTTTTCCCTAACAAAGGTGGGTAACAATGAAAAGCCGTATAAAACACAAACAAGTGTAAAAACATCAAATTATTAAAACTATGGTTTCCAGTAAAACCCTTCTAAATGTCATCTGTAAGAGATCCCAACCTGTAATAACCAGTAGGCTACAGAGGCTGTCAGGATTCTGAAGGCTCTCTCTGAATTTTCTGACTTGCAGCCCCTGTGAAATTGAAGGACAAATGGGTCCTCTCTGATTTCTTCTGCAGGACTTATGTAGGGCTGGAATTGCTACAGAGAATGCCTGGTAGTCTGTAGCAACAGAATGCACCCTTACAGGGTATGGGATAACTAGTAGATGCTGATCAAAGTTGCTACATGGGCATATGTATCAGAAGAGAGGCTGTGTTGCTGGTTTATCATGAGCACATCTTGCAACACAAACTTCAGCTGTTTTCACCATGACAGACCACTACACCTTTGCTTTTGGGGTGAGGTGAGGGAACTGCTGAGCTCAACAAAGTGATGTGGTATACCGCTATTTGTCATGTGTGTTGGAGCTTGTTGACTCCTGATCTAGACATCCATTTCCACTTTGGGATGAGGCCTTTTCAGTGACTGATCAATTTTAGCCAGATGAAATTTGTAGGTACCCGTTTGTTTGTTTGTTTCATTAGATTTATAGCCCACCCTCCCCACATTGTAGTCTCATGGCTGTAGAATTGGATGGTCTGACCCAGAGGTCATTTCGGGGGGGAACGCGAGGGAACGCAGTTCCCCCGGGTGAGATGCAGGGGGCGGGGCACATGACGAAGCCCCACCCCCTGCTTCCGAACGCCCTGCTTCCAGCCCTCATTCAGCCAGGAGGAGGCAGGAGAAGAGGGAGGGTAAGTTGCTTCCTCCCCGCCTCTCCCCACCCCTTGCTGCCTGGGGCCAGGGAGGGCCTTGGCGGGGCTTCCTCGCACTCCCGCCGGCCTTGCAGGTCCACCGACGGGCCCCTGATGTCAGGGGGTGTGGCATATGCTAATGAGTTATGCTAATGAGTTCCCCTAGCTCTTTTTCTACGAAATGACCCCTGATCTGACCCATGTGTGTTAAAGAAGGCATATGATAATGTTTAAAGCCCATGCATTTCCGTAAGCGTTTCTTATACCATCTCTGTAACCCAACCTGAAATAATGAGAACAGTCTGGTTGGATCTGCCTGTCTCTTGGTGCCAGATTTCAAGCTGTAAGATTCTTTTAAGGATGAATATGGGGTATGTTGTTTCGATATTTAGCTCTGATTAGTAAGTAAGCACTTCAGTCAGCTGCCTGTTTAGATTACTAAGTAAGAATTTTGGAGACAAAATTTATGGCAATATGACAATGGTCCCGTTCACACAGAGAAGTTGCCGCGCTAAAGACACGGATGATAGGTGGATTTTCGGTGCACGATCACACCGCAACATCTGGGAAGTGTAGTTCACCCGTGGCTAACCCGTGGCTTCCCGCCGACATTGGTGATAAAAAATTCCCATTTGCCACGGAAGTGGCGCCTAGCGATTGCCGGTGTGATTGCGCCGCGCCGCTTCTTTGCCGCGCTTCAGGATAGCCGTGTGATCGGCACCTAACGGCGTACCATGGGAACTCCACGGGACATGTGATCGGGCTGCCGCGCTTATCTGGCCCATGTGACCGGGGCCAATGTTTATTTGGGTGAACCAAAGTTCTTAATCTAGTATGTATGTCTTTGAGTTGGATTGAGCTCTTGCTTGGGTTGGATATTTAAAAATGGAAAAAACATAGAAACATGTTGGGAGCAGTATTCCCTCTAAACTGAGTTAGTGTGAGCTAGTTAACAGTTTTTTACCCTCCGGCTCACGCATTTTTGTCTTAAGTCAGGAAGGATGGCTTCAGAGCAAACTAAGGTCGCAATCACACACAGAATTAGCTGCGCTATAGGTGCGAATGCCGGGCGGATTTTAAGGGCGCGATCAGACGGAAACATCCGGGAAGCGTCCCGTGCCCTTCGGCAACCCGTTTTGCTCCACCACAGGAGCGGAGTAAAAAGAAACTAGGGAAAGTCTGGTAGCAAATGGGTTTCTACGGGCCAGGAATGGACTTTCCCCTGTATGATCGCTCCAGCACGCTCCCATTGTGTCAGGATGGTCTGATCAGGCCATCCTGACTCCATGCCGTTGTCCCCCCCCCCATTTCAGTATGCGCATCATCGCCCACTGCATAGGGACCACTCAGTGCGGAGAG